CGGGGCACTGCGACTGACGCATGGGCTGTGGCGGCTGGCTGGGCGCGACACCTGAGGCGAGTCAGCGAGAGCCTCAGCAATCGCATCCCGCAGCTCATGGTGGCGAGGGCTGCGGGAGGGCCGTCGGTGGCGGAGACCTCCAAGCTCGGCGTCTTCCTTCACGACACGGAGGCTTTCTTCGGGCGCCTCCTGAAGCAGAAGTGGGTGTTCTCGGCGGTGGACCCGTGCGTGGCGGAGTTCTTTGAGCAGAGTTTGATGGTGCTCGCCGACGCCAACTTCCATGACATGGTCGACTGGCTCATTCATCAGGGTGAGTCGAGGCTTGCAGCTTTCGCGGCTGAGCGAGCCAAGACTTGGACGAAGTGGGTCGAGGCCAGCTTCGTTAGTGGCGCGTCGCAAGCTCACCGGCTCAGCAAGGCCCGTGCCCTGCAGCCTGCAGACGCGGCCCGGACAGGAAGCCAGCCATTTGAGTTGGTTGACGACTGCCTGGATGACTGGGCCACGGTCTGGGCGACCCACGGCTGCGTGAGGATGGAACTACCGCCCGAGGCGGAGTCGTGGGAGCCTCTGCCGACGATTTGCAATGTTGAGGTCCGCGCTGCTGTGCGCAATTTTCCTGCCAGGACGGCCATTGCTCCTGGGCGCCTGGCCCCACGCAGTCTGTGGCACCTGAGCGACCAAGCGCTGCAGACGGTGGCGTTCCTCTTCATGTTGTGCGAAAAGTTCTGCTGCTGGCCGCGAGGAAGGGTGGCCACGGAGCTGGCGAGGCTGCCGAAGCCGGACAAGCCAGGTGAACACAGGCTGATAGCCCTCATGCATACTTTAATTAGGGTGCGGGGGAGGGTTCGGAGGCCTGTTTCGGTGGAGTGGGAGGGGAGGCATCGCAATGAGCTCCTGTGGGGCTCCGGTCCAGGGCGTTCCAGTCTCGATTGTGCTTTTGCTCACAATTTGGAGGCTGAGGTCGCTCGGAACACTGGGCAGCATTGTTTGACAGTTTTGATTGACCTGATTAAATGTTATGAGCTTGTCTTGCTTAGTGCTGTGATGACCGAGGCTGCTGCTGTTGGATTTCCTTTGCGTTTAGCGTGGACGTTGCTGTGTAACTATCAGCAGCCTCGGCGCATCAAAGGATTTAATGCCCTTAGCCGTTCCTACACGTCTTGCCATGGGATTTTGGCGGGCTGCTCGCACGCCACCACCCTCATGCAGGTCCTCCTCCTTCGGCCTTTCTACTGGCTTAAGAGGGAGTTTAAGTTTGTGTTCCCCGAGGCCTCATGGATGATGTGTCATTTCAGTGGATAGGACGCCTGGCCAAGTACGCTGGGGTCGTTTTTAATGCGGTCACGGCTTTCGCCAGCTACACCCGCCAGCTAGGTTTTGTGTTGCAGGCCTCCAAGTCTGGCTATTTTGCGTCTTCGACGGCAGCAGCTTGTGCTGTGAAGTCGAGAGCGGCCAGGCTGAAGCTCCAGGCATTTCGGGCCGCGCGAAATCTTGGCCACGACACCTTTGCTGGAGGCACCGCCCACAGAGCCCTTGAGAGGAAGAGGTTGGGGGCGGTGCTTGGGAGGCGGGGCCGGCTTCGCGCCCTTAAGAGGACTGGGGGTCTGCAGGTCAGGGTTTTGTGGCGCACGGGGGTTTTGCCGTCGGGTAGCCATGGGGCTGGTGTAGTAGGCCTCACGGATTCCACTCTCATGAAACTCCGTTCTTTTGCAGGGGAGCTGGTAGGCGCTAGGCGCGGCCTGGCCTCCCTCACTGTTTACACGTGCGCGCAGAAGGACAGGCTGTATGATCCCACTTTTGACGCCACATGCCCCCTGGTCGCCAGGTATGCGTGTTGGCTCTGGGATGGTAGGACCTCCCCTAGTATGTTGAGGATGGCTTGGAGCACAATCCGGGATAAGCTCGGAGCCCAGGGTACCTGGAGGCAATGCTTTGGGCCGATGTCTGCGGTGTTCCTCTCCCTTCGCAGGATTGGGTGGAACATGGCCGCTCCCCACCTTCTCACCTCCGACCTCGGAGACCATATATCGCTGTATGAATACTCGCCGAGCGAGGTCCGCAATTTGTTGCGCGATGGTGTGGAGCGTTGGCTCTGGCGCAGGGTCCCCTTCCACTGGCCAGAAGCGTCGGGCTCCGAGTACTGTTGGGCTCGAGCGATGCGCCTTGCGATTCTGGCCCTCCCCGCGGGTGCCCGGCAGGAGTCGCTCCGCGCGCTCTGGTCTGGAGGATTGTGGCCACCAGCCCGCAAGCATGCGGAAGGGTTGGCCCCGTCCGCTGCTTCTGCCAGGCCCCCCAGGGCACATTGGGCCACCAACTTTACGATTGCTCAAGTGCCTTCGTGTCTGGGGAGGAGGACGCGGGCAGCTTAGGTTTTCCCGAAGATGTTTGGGAGCGTAGGCAGGCCTTGCGGGAGAAAGGGTACGATTTCAACGTCGGTCCTCCTGATTGGGATCGCGTTTCTCTCCTCTACGGGCTCCCCTCGCTCCCCATCCAACTGCCCCCTCCCTTAGCTCGGCCGCCGGTGCTCACCTGGGGTCTCGCGGACGGTCCCTGGGGTAGGTATAGGTTCACTGACGGGTCGGGGCTGCACAGTGCGGTTCCCGACGCCATTCGATGTGGCTGGAGCGTGGTCGAGATCTCCGAGGACGGCTGGCCCTTGAGGGCCAGGTTTGGCGGGCTTCCAGGGCGCTTCCAGTCGGTCCCGCGGTCCGAAAGGTGGGCTGGGCTCGATGCTGTTTCCTTGGGGCCTGCTGGAGGCAAGCCTCCCGTCATAATTAGTGATCACCTTTCGTTTCTGCACGAGGGGCAAGGTTGGGATCCCAACCTGGAGCATGGCCTTGCCCCGCACGCGTCAATTTGGCGCAATATATTTCGTGCTCGTGCTCGCTATGATATGCGCTCCGAGTTCCACTGGACTCCTGCGCACCTCTGTTTGCAGGGGTTAATCGAGCAAGGAGCGTGTGCCGCAGAAATTTGGAGGTTCATGGGTAATGCATGGGCGGATTTTTTCGCCAAGCTTGGAGCCCTTGATGTTGCCGTTGCCGACGTTGCGGCCACGTCCCTCCAGGAGACCATTAAAGAGTGCAAGTTGTCATGCCAGTTTCTGGCCCGAGCGGTTCAGATTATTTGTGCTCGGCCAGATGTTTCTGGTGCTGCCCCAGCCCCTTCACAGCCGCCCAAGGAGGCAAGGCCGAGGCTAGTAGTTGTCGCTCACGATACCGTGCCCCTGGCTCCGGGATCCTCGGCGTTGCAGTGCAGGCAATGTTTGGCGGTTGCTCGGACTCCAGCCAGTGCCAAGTCGTTGCACAAGCCAGGGGCTAAGTGTGAGCCTGGGCCGATGCTGCGCCAGCTTGCTGCTCTTGCCGAGCGGCTCGGTTGGCGCCAGCATAACGAGGGGGAGGGTGAGGCTGCCTGCGCCGCTGCTGCTGCCAGTTTGGGGGCGGAGGCGGGTGGGAGTCTTCTCGTGTGCCACGGGCACCAAATTCACAGGGCAGGGTCCTTCCTGTTCTGTGGGCTTTGCGGGGCCCGAGTTGCCCTGGGCTCGGCCAAGATCGAGGCCCTCGGTGAGCCCTGCCCCACGAAGCCCCCTAACCCTGCCCGCCGGCGAGCCAGGGACTGGCTCTCGGAAGGCAGGCACCCAGCAATTGGGATCAGGCTCGTCCAGTCTAATCCGTAATTTGCTTGGTTTTCCTTGAGGGCTGATGTTTTAACACCCTCGCCCAGTATTATATAGTCGTCGTTGCGTTCTCGGATGCTTCGCCGTTCTATGCTGCGTCCTGCGTCCTCCGCACTGCTGCGAGCTGGCCCCGCGACCACATGCGAATGCGGCTGCCCCCACGTGAACGAAAGCAGGGAGGGAGGGAGAGACAGGGAGGAAAGGAGGGAGGAAGGGAGGGAGGGGAGGAGCGGAAAGCCCAACCAGGGCCCAGCTGCACCGGCGTGGCCAGGGACGGGAGACTCCGATCTCGTCAATGGGGGCAGCCTGGGAGCCGTCCCTCGAGGATGGTGCCCAAGCAGAGGTCTATGCACCATCCCTGGGGCACGGGGCGGCCCCGGCCCGGCACGGCGGTGGTGCGGAGGAGCCTGCTGCGCGTGCGCGACGCTGGCCGCCTCGACTCCTTTTGGGCCGCCAGGGGTCTGAGCTTCGAGCCTCGGACGTGGGCCTCGGGGCCTCCCCCCCCCCCCGGGGCGCGACGTGCTCGGGGTCTCGAGGAGAATCCAGCCGCAGCGACACGAAAGTATTCCCGGAGGTCCAGAAAAGGAAAGAGCTCAGAGCCTCGGAGACGGGGACACACCGCAGACCAGGATTCCGCATGCCAGATCCAGCGGGGGAGAATCGAAGCTGGGGCGAGTGTGTTCGACCCACGGTCGCAGGCTCTGTGGGTGCGCCAGTGCAGCGGCGCATCGGAGCCCCCGCTCACGAGGCCCTGGAGGAACGCCGAAGACCACCCTCAGACATCCGATGTCCTCATCTGCTCAATACTTGAAAAGGGGTCCCCCGAGATTCCGACCCCTTCTCCTGGAGCCGGTTCTTCATCCTGAGTTGATTTCGGGGCTCCAGAGACCGGAGTCAATGCAAACGGGGGTCAGCCAGAGTGCCGGACCTTGCAAGATCCTGCAGGGCCAGGGTCGCATTGACCCGGGCTTGGGTGCAGCATCCTGCAGGATCTTGCAGGATTTTTCGCATTGACCTGGGTTTGGGTGCAGGATCTTGCAGGATTGTGCAAGGCCTGACTGACCCAGGTCTGGATTGACCCAGGTCAGCAGATCCCCGATAATTCAGGATGTAAACTTGGCTCTGGAACAACTGTTCAGAGCCGATTTCTCATCCTGAGTTCACTCCGGATGGAAACGGAATGACCTTGAAGAACATTTGTTCTTCAAGGTTCCCGGGACCCCAAACCAACCCCTGGAGGCACAAAGCGAAAAACCTCAGTCTTGACGTGGTTCTTAGCGTTGGATGTCTGGTGCGATCCTCGATGCCTGCGCGCCGCCGGCAGGCGCCTGGGCTACCACTACCTGGCGGTGCCGAGCTCGGCCCGCGACGAGAGGTCGGCGACTGCAAAAGGAGTGGTTCAGCCGGGGTGCGGTGCGCGATCTGCGTCGCCGGGGCTTGGGGGATACCACGTTGCCCTTGATTCGGCGGCGAGCGAGGGGGGAAATGAGAAGGATTAGGCCTTCTCAGAAGGCGGCTGGACTTCTCAGAAGCCCTCGCGCCTTCTGAGAAGTTTTCTGCGTCTTCGGGGGAGGCTTGGAAAACTGCTCAGAAGGCCAAGGAGCTTCCCAGCTTTCTGAGAATGCCTTCTCCTTCTCACTTCCCCCCGTCGCTCGCCGCCGATTGTTTGTTGGGCCTCCTGGGGGCGTGGCGGAGACCTCCGTCGAGGTCCGCGCCCGCTCCCCCCCCCCCCCCCCCAGGCTTATGATGTTCACACCTACTTTAGCCCTGTTCACCGGAAAAAAATTCGAGCACCAAGAAAGCACCGAAACTGGATGCTGTTCACGTGTCAGGCCTTGGGAGGCGATACTCGTTCGACACGGTTGCGATACTCCTCTGGGTGCTCGAAGCCACTTCTGGGTCGTGGCCCTTCCAGTGCGATGGGAGCAGCATGGCCCCGCGCTGCGCGTTGCAGACCGCACCCTCTGCACACCACACCCTTCGGAGTCGCCGCACGAGGGCCCGCCCGCGGCGCCACGCGGCGCCGCACGGCGGCCCCTGAGGCACCCCCCCCGCGAGGGGCGCGCTGCCGAGGCCCGCCGCGCGCGCGCCGCCCGCGCGCCGCACTGGAGGGCGCGAATGCGCCACAGCGCGGAGCGCGCCGAGAGTGCGGCCGACGCCGAACTCGCGCGCGCGCGGCCCGGCCCGGCGGGCGGCTGGGGTGAGGTCGGGCATGTCCCTCTACGGTCGGGGAAACGTAAGACTCGCGTAAGACTCGGGTTTGCCGATTTTTTTTTTGACGAGCGCGTCCTGGATTTTGACGGTCCCGTTTTCGTGGGATGTTTGCAGCAGGAGCCCGCGTCAAATTTCAGATTGGTTCTCGTCATTTTTCCCCACATCCTAAGTGGGGTTCTTGTTCCCCACATGCTTAGTGGGGTTCTTGTTTTCTTCCTACCCACGCCGCACCCGCGTCTCACCTCCTCCTCCTCCTCCCCCTCCTCTTCCTCCCTCCCCCACAGCACAACACAGCACAGTCCCCACATGCTTCGTGGGGGCGTGGCAGGTGTGGCACTTTCCTCACCCCGTAGGGGAGGCGCAGGGGGTGGTCTCCGAGCGCGGCGTCTATGCGGGCCATGGCGCAGGGCGTGGCAGGTGTGGCACTTTCTCGACCTCGTAGGGGGTGCGCAGGGAGTGGTCTCCGAGCGCGGCGTCTATGCGGGCCATGGCGCAGGAAGTGGCAGGTGTGGTACTTTCTCGACCTCGTAGGGGGGTGCGCGGAGGGTGGTCTCCGAGCGCGGCGTCTATGCGGGCCATGGCGCAGGGCGTGGCAGGTGTGGCACTTTCTCGACCTCGTAGGGGGTGCGCAGGGGGTGGTCTCCGAGCGCGGCGTCTATGCGGGCCATGGCGCAGGGCGTGGCAGGTGTGGCACTTTCTCGACCTCGTAGGGGGTGCGCAGGGGGTGGTCTCCGAGCGCGGCGTCTATGCGGGCCATGGCGCAGGGCGTGGCAGGTGTGGCACTTTCCTCACCCGTAGGGGGTGCGCAGGGGGTGGTCTCCGAGCGCGGCGTCTATGCGGGCCATGGCGCAGGGCGTGGCAGGTGTTGCGCGACCTCGTATGGGGGTGCGCAGGGGGTCCCCGAGCGCGGCTCTACGCGGGCCATGGCGCAGGGCGTGGCAGGTGGCACTTTCTCGACCTCGTAGGGGGTGCGCAGGGGTGGTCCCCGAGCGCGGCGTCTATGCGGGCCATGGTGCAGGGCGTGGCAGGTGTGGCACTTTCCTCACCCGTAGGGGGGCGCAGGGGGTGGTCTCCGAGCGCGGCGTCTATGCAGGCCATGGCGTAGGGCGTGGCAGGTGTGGCACTTTCTCGATCTCGTAGGGGGTGCGCAGGGGGTGGTCTCCGAGCGCGGCGTCTATGCGGGCCATGGCGCAAGGCGTGGCAGGTGTGGCACTTTCTCGACCTCGTAGGGGGTGCGCTGGGGGTGGTCTCCGACTTTCTCGACCTCGCCGGGGCATGCGCAGGGGGTGGTCTCCGAGCGCGGGGTCTATGCCGGCCATGGCGCAGGGCGTGGCACGTGTGGCACTTTCTCGACCTCGTAGGGGGTGAGCAGAGGGTGGCCTCCGAGCGCGGCGTCTATGCGGGCCATGGCGCAGGTCGTGGCAGGTGTGGCACTTTCTCGACCTCGTACGGGGGTGCGCGGAGGGTGGTCTCCGAGCGCGGCGTCTATGCGGGCCATGGTGCAGGGCGTGGCAGCTGTGGCATTTTCCTCACCCCGTAGGGGGGTCTCCAAGCGCGGCGTCTGTGCGGGTCATGGCGCAGGGCGTGGCAGGTGTGGCACTTTCTCGACCTCGTAGGGGGTGCGCAGGGGGTGGTCTCCGAGCGCGGCGTCTATGCGGGCCATGGTGCAGGGCGTGGCAGGTGTAGCATATTCTCGACACCACCGGGTGTGCGCAGGGAATGGTCCCCGAGAGGAGCGTTTACGCGGGCCATGGCGCAGGGCATGGCAGGCGCGGCATATTCTCGACACCACAGGGGGTGCGCAGGGGGTGGTCCTCGAACGCGGCGTCTATGCGGGCCATGGCGCAGGGCGTGGCAGGTGTGGCACTTTCCTCACCCTGTAGGGGGTGCGCAGGGGGTGGTCTCCGAGCGCGGCGTCTATACGGGCCATGGCGCAGGGCGTGGCAGGTGTGGCCGCAGCCGCAGCAACATTTCCTCCACAGCAGGACTGTAAACACTCTGGCTCGAGTTGAACGCACGACACGTTTTGGCTTCCGCGCAGCGCCGCCGGGGTCTCTGCGCAAATTTCCTTCCGACGAGATGCCTCCCAAATGTGCTATCGCCGCGCTGCCGCTTCCGTGCTTGCGCCGGTCGTCCAGGTCACAGGGCTCGCACAGTGTGGCTGGCGCGGCGCTTCTCCTCTTCCACCTCTCCCCTTGAGTGGCGTCACCAACGGTATCGGCGGGGCAACGGCCACCAACATCATTCTCACATGCTTCACTTCAGCTATCATCACTCCAGCCATAATATAAGTATGTGGGGGTCCTCGGTAGCGTAATTCCAACCCGCGCCGCACCCGCATCTCCCACCTCCTCCTCCTCCTCCCCCTCCTCTTCCTTCCGCCCTCACCCACACAGCACAGCACGGCGCAGCACAGCACGGCGCAGCACAGCACGGCTGAGGTGGGGTCCCCGAGCGCGGCGTCTATGCGGGCCATGGCGCAAGGCGTGGCAGGTGTGGCACTTTCTCGACCTCGTAGGGGGTGCGCTGGGGGTGGTCTCCGAGCGCGGCGTCTATGCGGGCCATGGCGCAGGGCGTGGCAGGTGTGGCACTTTCCTCACCCAGTAGGAGGTGCGCAGGGGGTGGTATCCGAGCGCGGCGTCTATGCGGGCCATGGCGCAGGGCGTGGCAGGTGTGGCACTTTCTCGACCTTGTAGGGGGTGCGCAGGGGGTGGTCTCCGAGCGCGGCGTCTATGCGGGCCATGGCGCAGGGCGTGGCAGGTGTGGCACTTTCTCGACCTGGTAGGGGGTGCGCAAGGGGGGGTCTCCGAGCGCGGCGTCTATGAGGGCCATGGCGCAAGGCGTGGCAGGTGTGGCACTTCCCTCACCCCCCTAAGGGGTGCGCACGGGGTGGTCTCCGAGCGCGGCGTCTATGCGGGCCATGGCGCAGGGCGGGCAGGTGGCAGGGGTGCGCGGGGGTGGAAATGCGAGCCATGGCGCAGGGCGTGGCAGGTGTGGCACTTTCCTCACCCCGTAGGGTGCGCAGGTGGTGGTATCCGAGCGCGGCGTCTATGCGGGCCATGGCGCAGAGCGTGGCAGGTGTGGCATGGCACGTTCCTCACCCCGTAAGGATGTGCGCAGGGGTGGTCTCCGAGCGCGGCGTCTATGCGGGCCATGGCGCAGGGCGTGGCAGGTGTGGCACTTTCCTCACCCCGTAAGGGGTGCGCAGGGGGTGGTCTCCGAGCGCGGCGTCTACGCGGGCCATGGCGCAGGGCGTGGCAGGTGTGGCACTTTCTCTACCTCGTAGGGGGGTGCGCTGGGGGTGGTCTCCGAGCGCGGCGTTTATGCGGGCCATGGCGCAGGGGGTGGCTGGTGTGGCACTTTCTCGATCTCGTAGGGGGTGCGCATGGGGTGGTCTCCGAGCGCGGCGTCTATGCGGGCCATGGCGCAGGCCGTGGCAGGTGTGGCACTTTTCTCACCCCGTAAGGGGTGCGCAGGGGGTGGTCTCCGAGCGCGGCGTCTATGCGGGCCATGGCGCAGGGCGTGGCAGGTGTGGCACTTTCTTGACCTCGTAGGGGGTGCGCAGGGGGTGGTCTCCGAGCGCGGCGTCTATGCGGGCCATGGCACAGGGCGTGGCAGGTGTGGCACTTTCTCGACCTCGTAGGGGGTGCGCAGGGGGTGGTCTCCGAGCGCGGCGTCTATGCGGGCCATGGCGCAGGGCGTGGCAGGCACGGCATATTCTCGACACCACGGGGGGTGCGGTGCGCAGGGAATGGTCCCCGAGCGGGGCGTTTATTCTATATGCGCCCATGTCGCAGGGCCTGGCAGGCGTGGTACTTTCTCGACACCAGAGGGGGTGCGCATGGGGTGGTCTCTCTCTTTTTTTTTTTTCTCTATCTCTCTCTCTCTCTCTCTCACTCTCCCTCTCTCTCTCTCTCTCTCTCTCTCTCTCTCTCTCTACGCGCCAATGTCGCAGGGCCTAGCAGGCGTGGCACTTTCTCGACACCAGAGGGGGTGCGCAGGGGGTGGTCTCTCTATACGCGCCAATGTCGCAAGGCCTAGCAGGCGTGGCATTTTCTCGACACCAGAGGAGGTGTGCAGGGGGTGGTCTCTCTAGACGCGCCCATGTCGCAGGGCCTAGCAGGCGTGGCACTTTCTCGACACCAGAGGGGGTGTGCAGGGGGTGGTCTCTCTAGACGCGCCCATGTCGCAGGGCCTAGCAGGCGTGGCAATTTCTCGACACCAGAGGGGGGGTGCAGGGGGGGGTCTTTATATATGCGCCCATGTCGCAGGGCCTGGCAGGCGTGGTACTTTCTCGACACCAGCGGGGGTGCGCAGGGGGTGGTCTCTCTATACGCGCCAATGTCGAAGGGCCTAGCAGGCGTGGCCTGCAAGGGGGTGCCTTGGGGGTGCGGTCGCTCTCTGTTCCGGGCTCGCAAAGTGTGGCTGGCGCGGCGCTTCTCCTCTTCCACCTCTCCTCTTGAGTGGCGTCACCAATGGTATCGGCGGGACAACGGCCACCAACATCATTCTCACATGCTTCACTTCAGCCATCATCACTCCCGCCATAATATAAGTATGTGGGGTTCCTCGGCAGCGTAATTATCTCTGCACACCCTCCGCGCAGGATCTCTCCTCCTCCTCCCTCTCCTCTGCTCCTCTTTGCTTCCTCCTCCGCATCATCATCACCATCACCATCACTCCCCACTCATCATCATCATCATCACCATCAGCATCACCATCACCATCCCACGATCACTCACCATCATCGGAATCGAACGGTCATCATCATCATCATCATCATCATCATCATCATCATCATCATCATCACTACTCGCTGACTTGAGGCCTGAATATGGAGGAAGTCTCGAGCGGGAGCCTCGTCTGTGAGTGAATTGCGAGGAAGTCTCAGGCGGGAGCCCCCTCCCTATGGGGCCCGCACTTCATGTTTGAATCCGAGCGGGTCATCCGCAACGTGCAACTGTCGTCACTTTTGGGCTCTTGAGACTTGAATATGGAGGAAGTCTCGAGCGGGAGCCTCGTCTGTGAGTGAATTGTGAGGAAGTCTCAGGCGGGAGCCCCCTCCCTATGGGGCCCGCATTCATGTTTGAATCCGAGCGGGTCATCCGCAACGTGCAACTGTCGTCACTTTTGGGCTCTTGAGATTGAATATGGAGGAAGTCTCGAGCGGGAGCCTCGTCTGTGAGTGAATTGTGAGGAAGTCTCAGGCGGGAGCCCCCTCCCTATGGGGCCCGCACTTCATGTTGAATCCGAGCGGGTCATCCGCAACGTGCAACTGTCGTCACTTTTGGGCTCTTGAGGCTTGAATATGGAGGAAGTCTCGGGAGCCTCGTCTGTGAGTGAATTGCAGGGAAGTCTCAGGCGGGAGCCCCCTCCCTATGGGGCCCGCACTTCATGTTTGAATCCGAGCGGGTCATCCGCAACGTGCAACTGTCGTCACTTTTGGGCTCTTGAGATATGAATATGGAGGAAGTCTCGAGCGGGAGCCTCGTCTGTGAGTGAATTGCGAGGAAGTCTCAGGCGGGAGCCCCCTCCCTATGGGGCCCGCACTTCATGTTTGAATCCGAGCGGGTCATCCGCAACGTGCAATTGTCGTCACTTTTGGGCTCTTGAGATTGAATATGGAGGAAATCTCGAGCGGGAGCCTCGTCTGTGAGTGAATTGCGAGGAAGTCTCAAGCGGGAGCCCCCTCCCTATGGGGCCCGCACTTCATGTTTGAATCCGAGCGGGTCATCCGCAACGTGCAACTGTCGTCACTTTTGGGCCCTTGAGATTGAATATGGAGGAAATCTCGAGCGGGAGCCTCGTCTGTGAGTGAATTGCGAGGAAGTCTCAGGCGGGAGCCCCCTCCCTATGGGGCCCGCATTTCACGTTTGAATCCGGGCGGGTCATCCGCAACGTGCAACTGTCGTCACTTTTGCGCTCTTGAGATATGAATATGGAGGAAGTCTCGAGCGGGAGCCTCGTCTGTGAGTGAATTGTGAGGAAGTCTCAGGCGGGAGCCCCCTCCCTATGGGGCCCGCACTTCATGTTTGAATCCGAGCGGGTCATCCGCAACGTGCAACTGTCGTCACTTTTGGGCTCTTGAGATATGAATATGGAGGAAGTCTCGAGCGGGAGCCTCGTCTGTGAGTGAATTGCGAGGAAGTCTCAGGCGGGAGCCCCCTCCCTATGGGGCCCGCACTTCATGTTTGAATCCGAGCGGGTCATCCGCAACGTGCAACTGTCGTCACTTTCGGGCTCTTGAGATGTGAGTATGGAGGAAGTCTCGAGCGGGAGCCTCGTCTGTGAGTGAATTGCGAGGAAGTCTCAGGCGGGAGCCCCCTCCCTATGGAGCCCGCATTTCACGTTTGAATCCGAGCGGGTCATCCGCAACGTGCAACTGTCGTCACTTTTGGGCTCTTGAGGCTTGAATATGGAGGAAGTCTCGAGCGGGAGCCTCGTCTGTGAGTGAATTGCAGGGAAGTCTCAGGCGGGAGCCCCCTCCCTATGGGGCCCGCAATTCATATTCGAATCCGAGCGGGTCATCCGCAATGTGCAACTGTCGTCACTTTTGGGCTCTTGAGATTTGAATATGGAGGAGGTCTCGAGCGGGAGCCTCGTTTGTGAA